CCGGACCTCACCAATTTGGCTAGGCCGGCTAGGCAGTAAGCTCCAATGGTGTGCCTGCCTCCTCCCCAGAATTAGAGGTGTGCACCGCCACGCTTTGGTTTTTATGTGAGTGCTAGGGATCCAAACATAGGTCTCTGACTTGCAGAAAAGCACTTTAGCAATTGAGTCATTTCCACAGTCCTTTTTGTTAATAATTATTTAATATTCTTATATTAACTTAGCTAAAAACTTTCAAAGTCAATTAACTGCGATTAATTTTTTTCTCCTGGTTTGACGCACTGATGTACACTGCACATACCACATGTTTTTCTGTTTAGATAGTGTAAGATCGATCCTTTTGTGAAAGTGTGCTGATCAACTATCTAAAATTAAGTAACCTCACATACAATACAGAAACCCAGCTTGGTCATATGTAACTCTTTCATATAATACAAAATTTCATTTGCTAATATTTTATTTTGAAATTTGAATTCTCATACAAGATTAGCCTTGTGTGAGATGCCCAAAACTCTGCAGAACTCATAAATTCCACGTCTCTAAGAATTTGTATGAGTTGTGTGAGCTTCACACACCAGGCAAGATGGGCTTTAATTTGTCGTGAACCGTTAGACGGAATCCACCACTGAGCCCACGGGGCCTGTGAACCCTTTACAGGCGGATTCTTCTCCTTAGTGTTTATGAGGATGTTGTCCATCTCTCATGCCAGCAACTTCTCTTTCCCTAAAACCAGAGTTCCCACCAAGAAACAACTTCCAATTTGCTCACATTATCTAAAACCTGAGGCCTTCCCATAATGACTTTAGGTCTGGATATATAATGTGTTAGCCAATAAAAAACATAGCAAAAACAACAGAGCAGAGATTTTCAAATTATTCACTGCTTTTGGAACCTCACAACTACTATACGAACAAAGCTGAAGCACTAACACTGACACAGACCCCATCATCTGTCAATCTAACCAAAACGCCAGTCCCAAAGCCCAGGAAACTGAATGGTAGATGGAAACGGGGCTTTGTAGAAGTGGCTGAGCTGTGACTCCCAGGTTGCGATGTTCCAGGAACATCCAGGTGGGAGCGTCCCAATGTGATCACACGTGTTCCTTCAGGAGGAAACGGCATGATGGAGGAGCACAGACTGGGGTGACGGGAGAGGTGAGGACCGGGTCTGTCCTAGAGCCCCACCAACCTGGGGACAGACCGGTACTGCACTTCTCCTCGCCAAACTAAGGGAACTTGTGGAGACTGTGGAGGAGGAGTGCTTTGTTTGGTAGATAAAAGGCCTGCCGGCTGGTCAGACACTCATGATCCGCCATCAATTTGTATCTGTAATTAAGTCACTACATTTTAATGTCACCAACAGGAAACAAATACGGATTTTAGTGTCAGTTATGGTTCTGTAACAAACACTTTAAAACATACATTGTGAACACATGCTTGCAAGCCCGCACTTGGGAGGTGGTGGTAGAGGATCAGAAATTTGTGGCTATACTGAGTTATAGGAGACCCTGTTTCAGTAAACAAGCAAACAACGAAAAGCAGAAATAGCTAGGGAATTGGCTGGTGAAAAGATAATGAATTATGCAGAAGTTCATAGTTGGCTATGTGAGGTAATATATATGCTAACTGCTTCATTAATTCATTCTATAACAAAGATTTCAAAATACCATGTTGTACACCATAACATAAAAACTCCCATCAGTTTAATAAGAATGAGAGGAGAGAGTAAGAGTGTATGGGAGAAATTGTTCAACGTACAATACATACTTGTATGAAAAAGTTTTCATACAAAAGAAACAAAAACTAAATTAAGAGGGGCAAAAGAGGATGGTTCAGTGGTTGGGAGCACTGGCTGCTCCTGCAGAGGATCCAGGTGCAAAGCCCAGCACCCATGGCAGCTCACAATTATCTGTAACTCCAAATCCAGGAAATCTGATGCCCTCTTTCGGCCTCCATGTACACCAGGCAATTATGTTGGTGTGCAGACATACATGTAAACAAAATACCCATACATCAAAAATTAAATAAAAAAAATGAAACAAAGTATACTGAAAGGAACTCAACATTGTGCTGGGAGAAAAAAGCTTGTTAGAAATAGAGATGCTGCCAGGAGTAGTGATGTGGACCTTAATCCTACCTAGCAACTACAAGGCAGAAGCAGGAAGATGAGTTCACAGAGCATTCAAAGCTATCCGTCCCAACAAAAGCAACAAAAGGGTGCTGGTGATTCTATCATTGGAAACTCAGAAGTAAGGATCACGGCATATCAGAAAGGGCCGTATCCTGCAGAGAAATGGCTGGGAGAAACACACATGTCCAGTGTGTGCTGAGAAACTCTGGAAGAAATGAGGCGAGCTGCTGGAAACAAGGCAGAAAAGGGTCCTTTCATACAGTGGCAAGAAACTTAGTGAATTGTCCTGCTGGTGTGCAAAGTGAGTTTGGACGTGATCAACTTGGATACCTTACTGAGATTCCTGAGTCCAAAGCAAAGGTGTAGTCCGGTTTCCCCTGCTGCTTTTATTACCCTGTAAATGGGAAGACACCATCTGAGGAAAGGATTGCTGAGCAGAAAGGAACAAGAATTTAATGGTGCAGAAAGTTGCCTACCTACCCAGGCGGTAAGGGTCACCGCCTTTACCTACCCAGGCAGCAAGGGTCACCACCTTTACCTAACCAGGTAGTAAGGGACGCCTCCTTTACCTATCTAGGTAGTAAGGGACGTTGCCTTTAGATTTCCTGTCAACCAATGTGTGCTCTGGAGGAGACTGAACCACCTTTCACTAACTGCCTCGGAATGTCAGTGTAGTGGTTAATTTCATGTGCTAACTACACGGGATTAAGGGATACCCAGATAGATGGTTAAGCATTATTTTGGGGTATGTCGATTCAGATATTTCTGGAATATATTAGCAGCAGAATTAATAATTGAGTAAAGAAGATTTACCCTATTAGTATAGGAGGACACCAGCCGACCCACTCAAAGCCTAACTAGAGAAAAGCAGGGGAAGAGCCAATGAGCCATGTGTAGTCTGGGGCATCCACTGGCTCTTGCACGTAGTCACATCTGGACTCAAATCCAATCATCACTGGTTCCCCTGGTTCTGACAGCTTCAGGCTTGGATTGAATGACACTACCAGCCTCCAAAATCAGGAGAGCCAATTCCTATCAGAGTATTTTCTGTAACTAAACTAGATAACAGTTCTGCTTCTGAGGAACTCCACGCTAAGGTGTCAGTAGCACCCACGTTTCCAGACACAGAACTGCGAGGATGAACGGGAGCTAGGCTCTGGAGCTGGCTCTCTGGCGGACTTAGGGGCATCGGTGACTCACTTTCTAGTACCTTGCTAGTGTGTACTGTGATGTGCTCCCTATCAGCACTAGATTCTCCCAACCACTTACAGAAGCAAGGAGCTAAGTGGCTCAGTAACGGAGCTTGTGAACCAAAGAATGACATGGGTAGTCATGCCCAGTGTCACTGAATAAAGTGGCCAGAGAACGGACCAAGCTGAAGGGTTCTAACTCACAACTCGTGAGCTGCACAAAAGACCTCAAAGAATCTAGGTGTGCCCCAAAGAAAATGCTAAGCAATTCAAGAACAGGACCCTACCCCAAGTGGCTGGACTAGCACGCATGTTGGATTTTCAAGGATATGGGGTGGATATGAGAAGAGGGAGGTTACTGGCTCAAAGAATGGGACACTCTAAGTTAGAATGAGGACATGCTGAAGACTGAGCATGCCGGAGACACTGGACTCCTAAATTCTGATTGTCCTTTCACCTCCGCCGTCAGCTACAGCCTTTCTATCTTCTGCCAGAATTCGTCTTGAGTTATCTAAATAAAGGGTAATGGCCTTCACCAAGTCAGTGGTCTGTACCCAGAGAATGTTTGTATCTCCTTAGTCTTGCCTTACAACTAGGTCCAAGTACCCACTGATCCTGAAAGTTGAGGTATAGTGTATGCCTGGCATACGCAAAGCCTTGTAGTTATGCCCAGCACCACATAAACCAGGTGTCTTGGCACACACGTATAATCTCAGCGCTTCAAAGTACAGGCAGGTCAGCCTAAGCCACCAAGTACGTTCAGGGTCAGGCTGGGCTTGAGATGACGTTTTTAAAGGCAGTGCCTCGCAGCCTGTTGGGGTTTTAGAAACAATGTCCTCATCTGCCTGTCAATTCCCTGATTCAGGCTCTGACTCAGGGCTAGATTAATGTCACTGTATTTCTGGAAAATTCTAATATAATCTAATATAATAATAAGATGGGCTCTTCTAAAGCCTTCTGAGATCTGTGAAGAGGCAAAATATGTTCTTACCCATCTCAGCAGAAGCTTGGAATAAAGATGGGACCACCACGAAAGCTGCCTGAGGAATAGCCTCTTATCTAAGTGCTATGGGCTGTAGGATACATGTGTGAGCTAACAGAGACTGAGAGAATCACTGTCAGAAATACAACTTAGACTGATTAAGAAGACAAAACCAAATAATAAAAGTTACTTTCTTAATAAAGGAAGTTGCTGATAATTCTGCATGATTCAGAATCCTAATGCACTAAGCACATACACAACCTGCCTTTATCTGATAGGGATATGTCAGTGCTCTACAGCCGACAGTGACACACCCTAGACACAGGTGCTAGAAGTTAAAGGTAACTACTTGCCAGTAGTTTTCCGAGTTCATAGCTTCTGTTATTTCTCCTCTTTGAAAAATTTAAACTGCCAATAAACAATAAAGATTACGTGCTTTCTCCCAGAGGGAAAAAAAAAGTTGATGCACACACTTAAACACGAAATTTTACATCAACTACAGGATTTTCACCCCGTTCTGTAGAGTTCAGCTAAAACACCCCCATCCTACAGATAGCCCAGTATACAAATACTCAGAAACATTAGTGAAACATATGAGAATAAGCTAAATACAAAACCGTCCGGAGAACTAAGTAAGGAGGCATTCATGTTTGTCCATGAAAATTTCTCTGAAGAAATTATGACAGAACACTAAAAGATGCTTGTGTTTTAAGCTATTTATTTACAAAGTTTTTGCTAATAATTGCTTTTAAAATATAACAAAACAATGTCATATACTAACCTGTGAAGTGCACACACATGGTACAGAAAAAAGTCCATCGTCCAACTATTAGAGCAGATTGTTGAAAATTAAGTAACAAGGAGACTTACAATACCCCTTGAACATATAGGAAATAATACACTTGGCCACAGGAACCTGATCATTCTGTATTATTGACTCTTAAATACTACAATAGAAGACAATGGCAGATTTACCAAATACTTGACATTAAATTTCCAATCTTACATTTCATGACAGAACTACATTCAAAAGTTTACCACGCATTATATCTATGCATTTCACCGCAGACTACCAAGACAGATGGCAACTTCAGAACGACTATATAGAAAATAGAAGCAGGTCATAACAGTCTTCTCCTTTGAAATAAAATTCAATACAGTGGTCAAAACTAAAGCAAGATTTGACGGTGGCTAGAACAAAAATAAAAATAAAGCCTCTGAAACAAAAGTACATACTAATATCTGTCTGTGCAGCATATACAAATCTTTTGCCATCTTTCTGTCCTTACCTCAATTTTCAAAATATTTTCAATCTTAATTATACAGTTAGAACTGGTATATCTTTCAAAATTCATATGCTAGATATTTTATTTTAGAAGAAAACCAACTGCAAAAGAGAAGTAAGCACTAAAACAACACACGTGAATAAGCCCCCAGCATTAACCCAGAGGTTTCTATTCAGCACTGCATTCTCATTTATTCTCTGCAGAAATCGTGACACACAAATATGTACTTCCAGAAATTCATTCAAGAAACTATACAAATACACAGTAGTATTTTACATCCACCAAGCAAGTTTACTCTGTTAGGTTACAAAGTTACTGATTATCATGAATAACTTAACTTATGGGACTTTGGATGTGAGAGTCAAACAGATAAATTACATCGAAATCAATATTTCTTTTACATGGATTACCTTGAAAAATGTAAGAAAAGTAGTTTTTCAAGAACATAAAATGGCATTGGTTAGTGTTGCTTAGACTTTCACCAAGTGCTAATTAGAAGTACCATTTACGTCAGCATCTTATTGAAGTATGAGGTCCCGTGGAATAAGTTTCATATCAAGTGAGTTGTAGATCTACTTAATGTATGACTTCTCCGTTCAAAGAAAGAAGGGAGGCTGACAAGGGAAGGAGACGGAATACCCTGTGAAAGACATGACAAATAAACTTCAAAGTTTTCTTTTCAAAACTTGTGGCAGAGCTCAATGCCATGCCTACCATTCTGACCCTCCCTCTACTAATCACCATGACAATCCAGACAAAGTTCCAAACTCTTTAAAAACAAAATGTAAGATCAGAGGAATGGAGCAGAAATAACACACAATTAAAACTACTTTAGCATTCTGAAACAAAAGCTAGATGACTAATTTACCCAATGTTAAGTCAACTAGAAGACACTACTTAGTAATTAAGAGCACTGGCATCTTCCCTCTGGGAGGCACTCATGGTCAGAGCTACAGGTTCTGACCTGTAAGTCAGTCACAAGACAGACAGGTGAGGCACCTGTGTGCTGAACACAGGACAACTTTCAGGAACCCCGGGTCACTCCTTCCAGGGACTGGACCTGGGTCCCCAGTCCTGGCAGGAAACACTTTGCCTGCTGGGCCATCTAACTGGTTCTCTCTTAAGTCTTATTTTACAAGTGTGTAGGTGTGCGTTGTGAACTACCTAATGTGGGTCCTGGAACCAAACTTGGGTCCTCTGAAAGAACAGGAAGTGTTCTTAATTCTTGAGCACTCTCTCCAGGCCCCTCTTAATTCTTAAAGCATAATTAGGAAGAGTAAAAAAAAAAAAAAATCACATCATAGAAAAGTCATCTATCCTCAGATTTCTGTCCCATATGCACAACTCCCATGTGGACATGTATTTTTATGTGCATTTTACTCCACATGAAATCGAACAGGACAGGAGCACTTATCAAATTGCTGAGGAATAGAAACTTATTCTTTCAAAGGTCAAAGTTATTCATCATCAGAATCTTAAACTATAAACAGAAAAACATGCAGGAGGTTCTAAAACCCAAGTAGGTATAATCAGAATAAACTAAAAGTCTACTTTTTAAAAAAATGCATATGGCTAACTACCTATATCTAAACCCAGGGTCTATAAGATAACTGGTTCCACATTTTCATGCAAAAAAGAGTAAAATCAGTAGTTCAGAGAGCAACATTAATAAGGACTACCACTCAAGTGATGAAATTTGGTACCCTCAACAGTTAAACTCTGGGACCTGCTCTGCTAGAACTTTTATGATTTACTATATAAAAGCCATTTTTAAGAATCTACATATTATAACACTCTCCTTTAGATGATTATTTTCCTAAGAAAGAAAATTTTTAATGGAACCTGCTTATTATGAACTTAATAAATTCTTTTGTAAAAATATCTTTTATTTGGCAATATGCAAAAACTAGTTAATCTAATTTACTATAAATTCAAGGCGATAATAAAGCTGAGAATTCAAAAGTCCCAACCCACATAAAGTGATTCAATGGAGAATGTTTTCTTTTTTTCCACAAATATGAATTTCAAATAGCCAATAAGCTCACATTAAACTCCACAAGGTTTATTTCCATTGGCACATAGCTCCTAATTCTTCACAAATGTCAAAGGTGACTTCGGAAGAACGGGGTTTTTTTTTAAAAAAAAAATTTGAAAAAGTTTTCTTTTAAAAAAAAAATCAGTTACTTCCTTCAGTAATTTTGAAAAAAACTAGAACAGGAGGTAGAATGCTGCAGATGGGGACCAGGAAGACTACATGTGCCCACCAGTAGGGTCTGAGTGCCAGACATAACCATGCTTAATCCAATTGCAGTGCTTGTGGAAACAGAATTGGCAATCTGTTAGAACAGAAGTAAACAACTGAGGAGAGAACATAGAATTCTTAAAGATATAGTCTCTATAAAATATTACTACAAATAACAAATTTTCTACAATTCTTCTAAAAACAATACAACCCATTTACCAATATTTAAAGGCAACAATATTTACAATGGCTATAATGAAAAAAAACAAAACAAAACAAAACAAAAAGTTTTGGACTTAAAATATAAAATCTGCTGGGCAGTGGTGGCACACGCCTTTAATCCCAGCACTCGGGAGGCAGAGGCAGGCAGATCTCTGTGAGTTGAAGGCCAGCCTGGTCTACACAAGAGCTAGTTCCAGGATAGGTTCCAAAGCCACAGAAAAACTCTATCTCAAAAAGAAAAAAAAAATTTATAATCTAACCCACATTTATAATCTTCATTGTTTTTATAATTTTGCACATCTATATTATTTTCATTTTCTTTTTAAAAGAAATTTGTATTTGCTAAAGATAGGGCCTCACATAGGGCAAGCTGGTTTCAAACTTGTTACAGAGCTCAATAGCCAAGGCTGACATTGAATTTCTGGTCCTATCTCTGTACTTTGGTGATGTGACACTGTTAGAAATGTCTTCACTAATCATTCTAACACCCTGAAGGCAGACTGCTGAGGCACACTTAGTATTTGCACGTGATTTTAGATTCCACAGAACCCTTAGTTGTAAAGGGTACATCCTACTCATCAAGCTAAGTGAAAAGAAACAAACCTTAGTCCAATGTTACTGGCACTTATCAAATAGAAACATAATGTTTATATTAATAAAGTGATAAGCCAGACCAATTTATGAAAATTAGAACATCTCAATTCTAGTAAAATTTCACATTCAATAAACTACATAGTAGGTATGCATCTAACTCACTAAATGCAGGATCTTAGCTGGATGTAAAGACACCAGCCCAGTATGTGAGAGGCAGAGGCAAGTGGTTTCTAGGTTTGAGGTTAGCCTGGCCTACATAGTAGTTCTATGAGAGCCAAGGCTACACAGACCCTGCTGGAGGAAAAAAATGAAAGAAGGACCTTTTCAGTTGCTTTTATAAGTAAAAACAAAGTCAATGACCTCTCGACATGTGAGTGGGTCCTTTAGCTTATTGAACTAACACTTACCGCTAAGGATGATGTGCTGGAGAGACGGCTCACGGCAAGTTTGCCACTACTGGGAGGACTCCTTCCCTCTGAGCTATGGGACGATGAGAGAGCCATCCGCAGGGCTCGCTTGGGAGTTTTGGAAAAAGAGAACGCTCTTGTAACCTGAAGTTTAAAAGGAGTTAATATTAATTAACTAGACAACTTTAAGATGGTCCACAAAAATTTCTCTACACACACACACACACACACACACACACACACACAAACAAAAAAAACAAAAACAACAACAACAACAAAACAGAAATATATCATTTCCACAAATAGGATTGCAGCCCGGCCCTCGTGTTACACATAGCAGTGGGAAAGTGAACTATGCTCTAGCCTACTCCCTCTTGCACCTGGGAACACTGAAATCCAATGGAAGAGAGAGAGAAGCAGAAGGAGACAGCTAGCCTGAGACACAGGAAATTTAGGGTTTTGTTGGGTTGTTTGTTTTCCATTTCTTTTTGTAGTGCTGGGATTGGACTCAGGATTTCTGTGTGATAAAACGAAACGAAAAAACCACACATCACTAAGTTATATCCTCAGCTAAGACCCATCTCTTATCTTGTCATAGTGTAGTTTGTGCATTACAAAACCACTTGAACCCAATTTGTTTACTGATGGGGAAGGAGTTCCTCTGAATCATGATCTAACTAGTTTACCTACTATGTTACATGTGTTAAGGAAGAGCATATATAAAAGTAGTGCAGTTTCCCTTTCAAAGGGAAACAAATCTTGTAAATAAAGCAGCAAACTATATAAGGCCATGTGGTGGTTTGAATAGGAATGGCTCCCATAGACCTAGGTGTTTGAATGCCTGGCTTAGAGTGGCACTAGTAGGAGGAAGAGCCCCCGCAGGGGTGGGCTTTGAGGATGCAGGTGTTCAAGCTACACCCAGCATGGGCACAGTTCACTTGCCGCTGCCTGTGGATCAAGATGTAGAATTCTCAACTCTTGTCTTCCTAAATGCTGCCTTTTTTTCCCATCATGATGATAATGGACTAAACTTCTGAAACTTTAAGGAAGCCCCAATTAGATGCTTCCCTTTATAAGAGTTGTTGTGGTCATGGTGTTTCTTCACAGCAATAGAAACCCTAAGACAGATTTCAAATATTCCTTGGCTCTCTGAAACCCCACTTCTACTTTTTTTGGGGGGGGCGGGGGGAGGCTATCTTCATAACCCAGAAACCCATCTGCCTCTTCCTCCCACGTGTCTCACTTAAAGGCATGCATAAGCACACCCAGGTAATTTCTACCTTTTAAAAGCCCCATCCCAATGTAAGCTGAAAACACAAATAGATCTTGTTTTCCAACTCAGTCATATGCTCTGACTAAAAACTATTCTTGGTATTACTTAAGATGAATGAACACATTTCTATCTAAAACACCAATACTACTTATCAACTCTGGTCTGATTCATGCAATAGCCACTACATCAAGAATGCCACAGCAAGTTCTAAGTACTGTGACAAAGACGCCACTGAACATTATAAAAGCAAATCTGTGAATCATCTCCCAGGACTGTAGAGCGGTTCTGTTGTAGACTGCTGAGTGTGTACATAAATGTGTGTCTGCATGTGCACACAGCAAGCCACAGGGCAATGCTAAGGAATATTACTTTAAGTGTGCAAATCTGTGTTAAGCAGATATATCATAAAACACTTGTTTTATGATATATCTGCTTAATTATGTAAATATGTGTTGCTTTTTTACAAGTCTGCCTAAGACAGCCAACTGGTCTAATAAAGAGCCAAAAGGCCAATAGCTAGGCAGTAGAGGAATAGGCAGTGCTGGCAGGCAGAAAGAATACATAGGAGGCAGAATCTAGAGAGAAAAGAGAGGAGAGAAGGGGGGAGAAAGAGAGGGAGATGCCCAGCTGCCAGTCAAACAGACACAGAATAGGTCATACAGAATAATAATAATAATAATAAAAAGTTAAAAAGACCTGAGGCAAAATGTAGATGAAGAGAAATAGGTACATAAGTTGTAAGAGCTCGTGGGACAAGCATAAGATAAAGCGTAGTGGGACAAGTACAAGCTAAGGTTGAGCATCCATAACTGCTAATCAGTCTGTGTCTTTATTTGGGAGCTGGTTGGTAGCCCAAAAGCAAGCCTGCTACAAGGCAACCCCTGATATGTGATCAGGTACTTTCTAACTTTTACTTTCTTCTTTTTAAGTTCTGGCATTGAACTACCAAGTAAGGCACATTGACTAACCAACCACAAACCTCTGCCATCCCCCCGAACTAGTATTATCAATGTTTCAATGTCTAGCCCCTTTGAGTCATAGAGACAGAGCTTGAAAGTTTACAACAGCTCTAGAATATTCTTTTATTGGTGTTGATGTCAATATTAGCTTAACTTAATGTTAAACACACATTTTAGAAATAAGTCCAGAATTTCACCAAACTCACCTTTTTTGAAGTCTTTTTTATTGCTCTAGATGCTCGACTCAATGTACTATCCATATCTTTTGTATTTACTTCAAAAGATTCTGGATCAGCCACATACATAAGATTTTCCTGTTGAAAAAAATAATTTATTTTAAGTTCAGAAAACAATTGTTTCCAAAATCAAACCATTAAGTATTGACATATATATGGTAATATTTATAAATAAAGGTACTTCAGACTCAGTGGTAGCAGGTCCTGGATGTGATCCGTGTTGCCACCCCATCCCACTATCCCCAAAACTGTACTGTGCTTAACATGATATCTACCCTGAAATAAACTAACTTGAGGATAATTTAAAATAACTGAGTAAATGAATAGTTTACTATGGACCACATTACATAACTCGAATCAACAGAATATACATCATATAAAAGCTTACTAAACAATCTAAAACTAATGTTATGAATTTAGGAGAGTTAATTCTTAAATATAGTCTGCCACAAAACCAATAATACATAAACTTTCCTTAAGAGACTCTCACCCCTGACTTTCTTCCTCAGTTTGTTTCTGGAAGAAACCTAAGGTCCTACGGCAACAGCAGCTAGGAATCACAGTGTGGTGAACACTCTTCAAATTGTGCAAATATTCTGTGTAAATACGAGCGAAGTGCTCTTTTCGAAGAGGAGTGTTCCCAGAATATAGAGTACATCCCCCAAGGAACAAAAGCCCTCCTGGTGTAATCTAAAAACCGTGGACCAAAATTAACTTTAAAACAAGAAAACCTGGGGCTGGAGAGATGGCTCAGAGATTAAGAGCATTGACTGCTCTTCCAGAGGACCTGGGTTCAATTCCCAGAACATGGCAGCTCACAACTGTCTAAAAATGCAGTTCCACAAGATCTGACACCTTCACACCAATGCACATAAAATAAAATCAAATTATATATATATATATATATATATATATATATATATATATATAAAACCCTTTGTCAGAATGTGGTCCAAGAATGGAGTCATGTGAGGGGAATTCTGGGCGGTTGCGAGAATTCAACCAATGCCAAGAAAACAAGACAAGAGTCTTGTGACCTCAGTTTCTTCAAAGACAGAACTGTTTTAGGAATGTGTTTTTATGTTCCTCCCAGGTGTGGTAGACAGGAGAGAGTTTACTACAGATTACTCATTACAACTATTTGGGGTTTTTTTTGTGTATATGTCTCTACGGAAAAATATGTTTTTGCCACATTATCGTACAGTTTCCTCGGGGAACTCTTTTAATCTTCAGGCTCTGAACAAAGTTACTATTTTAGGAGGCTCCATTCTCCCAAGCTCTGCCACATCTAGAGTATAGACAGCCCTTCTCCAAGTAATTACAAATATTACTATCCACATTTTGTTTGGACTTTCAAACAAAAACATTCATACTCCTATGAATGATTTTCACTTTAAATTCATAAATCTAGGCAAAAAAAAGGGCAAGTGACCTCCTTCCCCCAGCACTGTAAATGGAGCCGCACATCAGCACCATCAGTCTGCAGGTACAAGAATTGTGTACCATCTTGTGAAAGCTATTTTTTCTGAGTTTCTTGTACACAAAGTGGAGAAAACACCCAACATGTCTAGTCCAAAGTACTTACAAGGAGAAAGTCAGATAGTGTTCAGGAGAACTGACTAAAAAACCAAGCTACAAACTGAAAAGCACACCCTATAGTTATAAATGGCTATTTAAAATGAAACGAACCCCAAAATATAAATGCCTATTTTACTCTCCACCATTAGCAGCCAAATGGCCTTATTTTGCTGAAGCTATTTTAGTTTCTTCATTAAAGTAATCACATTTGGGGCTGGAGATGTAGCTCAGCTCTTAAACCATATACAGAAGACCAAAGTGCAGTCTTTAGCACCCACGTCAGGAATATTAAATCTGCCTGCAACTCCAACAGATTGAGCACACTGTCGCCCATGCATGGGTGCTCTCACAAGCACATATCCCCACATACATACATATAATTTAGAGAGAGAGAGAGAGAGAGAGAGTCATTCTCACTGCTCGAAACCCACTTTTTCCATTTGACACAACTGCTAAATGACAAGACAAATCCAGTTCCCAACAGATAACAGTACCTATAGATGTTTGGCTCTGTAAGAAAGACACAATATAAATGACAAACGTTTATTTTGTCATTATTTCCAATTTCTATTTTACATTCCTTATTAACATACATACACTTCATTGGTCAAACTTCTGTTTACCAAGTATTTCTCAATTAAGCACATATTTGTTTCTGAAATGGTTTCTCACCTTTTACACCGAACTCATACTTGTAATTAGGTGGAAAGGAATAAGAATATACATCTAATTTCTTAATACTTAACTAATTTTCATAGTACCATGGGGTAATAATTGAGGTTCTACACTATTATGATAGTCTTATTTCAAAAACATCTACTCTGAAACTGAAGAAATGGCCCAGCAATTAATACTGGCTACTTTTTCATAGGACCCAAGTACAACTCCAAAGGACCAGCTGGCATCTCACAGCCACATATACTACAGACCCTGGGGAGTCAATGACATCGCTGTTTCCTTCTGTACTGCACATATATGGAGTCCAGACATAGAGGCAGACATCTGTGGAAATAGTTTCTCATCTACTCTTCCTATAGGCTCATATACAAACTTTTAGAACAGTGCAGTAGTAACCTAATCACTATAGCTGATTTTTTAGAAGTACAATTTGGAGCCAGCAAACCAGTCAGTGGGTAAAGGCATTTGTTTGGAAGCCTAATGTCTTACTTCAATCCTCAGGAGCACTATGGTGGAAAGAGAGAGCCGACTCCACAAGCTGTCCTCTGGGCTTCCTTCACAAGAGCACAGTGGCATACACAGCCCACTCTCCAAATGAACGAGGGTCATTTTAAAGCATAAGTGTAATTTAGTATCTCCTATGGTAGCACTGTTTCTTCTTTAAAAATCATCCTAGGGATCAGTCTGTCAAATTCCAAAATTTCTCCATAGGACTTTAGAGACAGCAGAAATCTATAAACTAATTAAAGATGAATCAACACCTGCGTATTAATGTTATCATTCATGGATACCAAGGGCTCTCGTATTGCAGATTTCTGTTTCATTATTTTTTGTGCTGGATATTAAAAGCAGGTCTTGGAAATGCAATGCAAACACTCTACCACTGAATTATAATTCTAGTCAAACACAAACTTCTTAAAAGAACTTCCATGTTTCTGAGAAGGCTATTCCTATGGGTTTTCTAACAAGTTTTATTAGGAGAGTTCATTTTCTATACTTTCTGACAACTGTCAGCATTTAAAAAACTGACACATGTGAAGCATTATTTGCAACATGTGTGTGCAATTTTACTACTTCACTAAGCAGTTCAAAGTTCCGCACTAGGCGGAGGTTCTCATCAATCCCCTCAGTCACTTGCCATCCGAGGAGCACACACACACACACCTCACTGACCTGTTGGCTTTCCACAGCAATAGCGTAGGTTCTGATTCCTGCCTTGCTCTACCTACAGCACCACAAGTTGAACGTAGTTTCATAATGTGCTGCTTCCCAATGGGAATGTACTTCCATAGCTGTGAAGCAACACACACCACATCCACAGACCACATAACTATAGTACTACTCTACAGCAGACTCTCACAGGATGGACCATCAGTGTGCAGTCCGCTGTTGGCTAAAGATGCTAGGGATGACGCCTACAGCCGTCAACTGTGCTCTGGGAAGTACAAACATTTAAATATATTTTCTGTTAAGTATGTTTTACTTTTTAACTATAAGTAATCTGTCAATGTTCATTTGACTTGTTCAACTTGTGACACTGTTCTAAAAGAAGAAAGCTGAAATTGCAACGGAGAGGATTGGACAATTATTTGAAACAGGACTATGCAAATAGTTCACTAAAAACTCTAATGTACATATCAAAGATTCACCTATTTATAAAAAAAGAAAGGAAGGAAGGAAGGAAGGAAGGAAGGAAGGAAGGAAGGAAGGAAGGAAGGAAGGAAGGAAGG